CAAAAGCATGCAGGCTAATGACGACGCAATGACTTTAGCTCATATGCTAATGTCCCCGCTGCCTCACAGGCGTACCATGTCAGGAGTGCGAGGAGACGGTAGGTTGTCAGGAGACGTGAGGCTCAGTGTGAAGACCTTGCTGCATTTCCCGGGCAATCAATCGATTCAGATACGTTATAAAAATCTCCCTAAAACAGGTAATATCGTGCATCCAAATTTGTCTAGAAAAACAGCTCCAAAGATAATTAGAAAAATGTTTTGACTAAATCTTTAATTATTTATTTAAGGACAGTCCTGAAACAGCAGCGGAGTGCCAAAAGACTGCACCGCATTTATTAAAACACGAGTTCAGCGAGTGAGGTCAACTAATGGCCAATTAAAGGTGCATTTGTGCATTAGCAGGCAGTAGCGGGCTCAGCCATTTGGATGTCTATTTAAATCCCACAGTCACAGGGAATGTGATAATTACCTCCCCTTCCATCCAATACATGCATTCAATACATGAACAGGTCCTCAAATCGTGCACGCGCACACACACACACACACGCACAAACACGTCCGCAACACAAGAAACAAAGAATGCTCTCTAATTACTGGCACATGCTGCACACGCAAAAGTCTAAAAGTCCAACTTCATATAATCCAATTGCTGGCTGCACACACACACACACACACACACACACACTCGCCTACTTCGGGGGATAACTACCTACAGATGGGTGATACTTTCGGAGAGAAGGGTTTTTGCACCGACACTTTCAGGAGCGTTACAACGTAATCACAAGCTCCTCAACGGCAACAGGCGTTAGGTCGTGCTAAGGAGACTTGGAGTATCACGGTCTCGAACACCGCGCGGCCAGGTAGCACTGATGAGAAAAGCAGGAGTCAACAGAGGAAACACTGTGCGTACAGGGTGAGCGTGCGAGACGAGGAGAAAAGAGAACCCAGGAGGTATAAACTCAAGTTACAGGAATTCCTCTGGCCTTGTATCAGAGTCAGCGCTGGGTTAAGTTTCCTTACAAACACTCTGCTGACCAGCTCCAGAGAGGGGGGCAAGGGAGGGAGGGGCGGGGGGGTACAACTGGTGATCACAAAGGCAAACCCAACATGTGGCCCAACGCATACTTTCCCCCTTTTCATGTCTGGAAAAGAGTGCCAAAGAATTTCTTTTTTTTTTTTTTTTTAAAGGGAGGTGTTAATGACATTGATCTCAACTGGAACTGCACTCCTGCGTCGCCTTGGCATCTCGGTGGTTTCTCTAAAACAAATCGGGTTGACACGGTAACAATAAAGGGTCGAGGAACCGATAGGTTTATTGGTTAGCAACCATTTCCTGACAAGTCTCACACTTATTTGGGCAACACTCGTCCACCGGTTGCATCTACAGAGTGGATGTTGTTTGTTTGTATTCCTGGTTCGTACATTAGCAAATATTAGTACAGCGGCAATAATTCAATCGACGCTACATGCCATCAGCATCTTTTTAAATTAGGAAGATGATCGACTACAGACACATCATGGCGTCTCCTCAACAGACAGTCAGGATCCTCACTCAAGTGTACAAAGTGTACATGGTCTTATCAGTGGGTAGCCATGTTCACTCGCTGCCCAAGGAGCTTAATCTTCTAACTGCATTTAGCCCCGCCCCTCCCCCCCCCCAAAAAAACGTCCAAGCTCACGCTGTAATTTACCAGTAATTTTCAACGTTTAACAAAAACAATAATTCTTTTCAAAATTATGTTTGCATAGGACTAATTAAAGAACAAACTCGATCTGCATATCGTTATTATGTCGTAATACATTTATTCATACGTTTAGCTAGTCGTTTAGCTAGTCGAGGTTTACACCAAACATTAAACATGCCCTATTGTGGCAACACAAATAGCACTGTTTGGACACACACCAAATATTTACACGAGTTAATCCAGTACCTTTACACCCCGCCCCAAAGTGTGGTAGTAGTTACACAGTATATTCTGAAAATTAAGCCACTGTTTAGTAACTCTTTTTTTTTTCCATTGAAACGCACAAACGATGTAAAAGCTCTGCTCACTTTCTGTTCAGATGGATGTGTCAACTATGTAGTGAGGTATATTTTTTAGCATTTCGTTTCCCCCCCTTGACTGGGCAAAACAGTAACTTGGACAGTTAAACCACGTTAAAATGTCAATTTGCAGCGGATAAACAAACACAACAGAAAAGGTTCCCAGACGTTTAACCATTACCGCCCACACCAGATCAAACAGACAGAGAACTGGTCTGTCTAATTCAGCAGGGTGGGTAAATGAAGGATTTGAATATATGCTGGATTTGCAACAGGACAACTGACACTGCGTGCTCAGGGGCTCAGCAGCAACAGAAGAAAAAGGCAGTCTTCTCCTGTGTCATTTACCCCCCCAGGGCTGAAGCCCAGTGAGTAAGGCATTACTGGGAAACTAAGCCATTACTGGAAAACAGTCCACCTATTTACTGGCACTGGACGGGAGGCTGGGATTAGTTAAGACGGGGACAGATGTGATGGTTATTGATGGGGGGGGTCTTTTTTACATTTGATGCATATAGTTAAATGGTATACATACTGTAATGAATTACAATGACATAAACCGAGCTGTTACCAGTCAAAGTGGATGTTGTTGAAGGTCAAAACATACTGCTGTCAAAAGGTCTTAAAGCTGAGGGCCCCTGACTCCTGGCCCGGGGGCCACTTCGGGCCCACAAACCCCCAACGTATGGTCCGCAAGTAGATTTATTGTTTCTTCATTTGAAGACTTTTTTTTTAATTTAATTTATTATTCATTTAAGAATAAAAAAATCTAATAGGTGATTGTTCGCTATTAGCACTTATAAACAATTTCTATATCATAAAAATGATCCTCCAAATATATTGGTTGGTTTGAAAGATGAAACATTGAAACTGTCAAAAGCAGGTGAAAAAAAATATATAATTTGTAACAATTTTACTTTTACTCAGTGTAATTATATTAACAACAGCATGGTAAGCAATACTTTACACATGAATCATTTAACACTGACCAAATCATTTCTTTATAAACAAATGATTTAATGACAAACTAAAAATATATAGTTTTATTTTAAATCTGAATAAAATGTTTGCGTCCGAAACACAGTGGTGGGTGGAACCACACCTGCACGTTTTGCGTCAGAATACCATTTTGCTAATATAACAACAAATCAGCTGTTCTCTTGGAACAATGAAAATAAATTTGCGAGTCACAGAACCCACTG